TAATAAGTTTTTTTTTTTTGTTTTTGAAAATTGTTTATTAAAATAAGCAATTAAATTGTTTTAATAAAATTTTTCCTAGTCTGTTAAATATTCTAAATTATATTCACCTTGATTTATAATTTGTTTAAAATTTTTTTAACTTTAAAAAAACACCGCAAAGCGTGAATTTATTTGACATAATACGGATGCCAAAAGAAATATTATACGTCAGTCAATATAATTTCATGGATAATTTTGTGTTTTTTTTTTTTAAATAATATTCTCAATAAAATTTAAAATTTTCAACACAAAACTTTTTTTGCACTCTGCTTTAAAAGCGGTAGGCAGTGCAGTTTCTTTAACAATTTTATATGTGGTAAGGCAGTTTAGTAGGTGTTATAGAATATATAGAAATGTACTAGAACTGAACTAGAACTGAACTGAACTAGAACTGAACTAGAACTGAACTAGAACTGAACTAGAACTGAACTAGAACAGAACTAGAACTGAACTAGAACTGAACTAGAACTGAACTAGAAGAATTAGAACTGAACTAGAACTGAACTAGAACTGAACTAGAACTGAACTAGAACTGAACTAGAACTGAATTAGAACTGAACTAGAACTGAACTAGAACTGAACTAGAACTGAACTAGAACTGAACTGAACTAGAACTGAACTAGAACTGAACTAGAACTGAACTAGAACTGAACTAGAACTGAACTAGAATTGAACTAGAACTGAACTTGAACTGAACTAGAACTGAACTAGAACTGAACTAGAACTAGAACTGAACTAGAACTGAACTAGAACTGAACTAGAACTGAACTAGAACTGAACTAGAACTGAACTAGAACTGAACTAGAACTGAACTAGAACTGAACTAGAACTGAACTAGAACTGAACTAGAACTGAACTAGAACTGAACTAGAACTGAACTAGAACTGAACTAGAACTGAACTAGAACTGAACTAGAACTGAACTAGAACTGAACTAGAACTGAACTAGAACTGAACTAGAACTGAACTAGAACTGAACTAGAACTGAACTAGAACTGAACTAGAACTGAACTAGAACTGAACTAGAACTGAACTAGAACTGAACTAGAACTGAACTAGAACTGAACTAGAACTAGAAACTGAACTAGAACTGAACTAGAACTGAACTAGAACTGAACTAGAACTGAACTAGAACTGAACTAGAACTGAACTATAACTGAACTAGAACTGAACTAGAACTGAACTAGAACTGAACTAGAGCTGAACTAGAACTGAACTAGAACTGAACTAGAACTGAACTAGAACTGAACTAGAACTGAACTAGAACTGAACTAAATGAACTAGATCTGAACTAGAACTGAACTAGAACTGAACTAGAACTGAACTAGAACTGAACTAGAACTGAACTAGAACTGAACTAGAACCTAGAACTGAACTAGAACTGAACTAGAACTGAACTAGAACTGAACTAGAACTGAACTAGAACTGAACTAGAAACTGAACTAGAACTGAACTAGAACTGAACTAGAACTGAACTAGAACTGAACTAGAAACTGAACTAGAACTGAACTAGAACTGAACTAGAAACTGAACTAGAACTGAACTAGAACTGAACTAGAACTGAACTAGAACTGAACTAGAAACTGAACTAGAACTGAACTAGAACTGAACTAGAACTGAACTAGAACTGAACTAGAACTGAACTAGAACTGAACTAGAACTGAACTAGAACTGAACTAGAACTGAACTAGAACTGAACTAGAACTGAACTAGAACTGAACTAGAACTGAACTAGAACTGAACTAGAACTGAACTAGAACTGAACTAGAACTGAACTAGAACTGAACTAGAACTGAACTAGAACTGAACTAGAACTGAACTAGAACTGAACTAGAACTGAACTAGAACTGAACTAGAACTGAACTAGAACTGAAACTGGACTAGAGACTGAACTAGACTGAAACTAGAACTGAACTAGAACTGAACTAGAACTGAACTAGAACTGAACTAGAACTGCTGAACTAACTATGAACTAGATCTGAACTAGGAACTTGAATTAGAACTGAACTGAACTGAACTAGAACTGGAACTAGACAACCTGTGAAACTACAGAACGAACTGAACTACTGAACCTGAACTAAGAAACTGACTAGAACTGAACTAGAATTGAACTAGAACTTGACTTAGGAACTGAACTAGAACTGAAACTAGAACCTGACATAGAAACTGAACTAGAACTGGAACTAGAACTGACCTAGAACTGACATAGAAACTGAACTAGAAACTGAACTAGAAGCTGAACTAGAACTGAACTATGAACTAGAAACTGAACTAGAACTGAACTAGAACTGAACTAGAACTGAACTAGAACTGAACTAGAACTGAACTAGAACTGAACTAGAACTGAAACTAGAACTGGAACTAGAACTGAACTAGAACTGAACTAGAACTGACCTAGCAAACTGAACTAGAAAACTGAACTAGAACTAGAACTGAACTAGAACTGAACTAGAACTGAACTAGAACTGAACTAGAACTGAACTAGAACTGAACTAGAACTGAACTAGAACTGAACTAGAACTGAACTAGAACTGAACTAGAACTGAACTAGAACTGAATAACTAGAACTGAACTAGAACTGAACTAGAACTGAACTAGAACTGAACTAGAACTGAACTAGAACTGAACTAGAACTGAACTAGAACTGAACTAGAACTGAACTAGAACTGAACTAGAACTGAACTAGAACTGAACTAGAACTGAACTAGATCTGAACTAGAACTGAATTAGAACTGAACTAGAACTGAACTAGAACTGAACTAGAACTGAACTAGAACAGAACTAGAACTGAACTAAAACTGAACTGAACTAGAACTGAACTAGAACTGAACTAGAATTGAACTAGAATTGAACTTGAACTGAACTAGAACTGAACTAGAACTGAACTAGAACTGAACTAGAACTGAACTAGAACTGAACTAGAACTGAACTAGAACTGAACTAGAACTGAACTAGAACTGAACTAGAACTGAACTAGAACTGAACTAGAACTGAACTAGAACTGAACTAGAACTGAACTAGAACTGAACTAGAACTGAACTAGAACTGAACTAGAACTGAACTAGAACTGAACTAGAACTGAACTAGAACTGAACTAGAACTGAACTAGAACTGAACTAGAACTGAACTAGAACTGAACTAGAACTGAACTAGAACTAGAACTGAACTAGAACTGAACTAGAACTGAACTAAAACTAGAACTGAACTAGAACTGAACTAGAACTGAACTAGAACTGAACTAGAACTGAACTAGAACTGAACTAGAACTGAACTAGAACTGAACTAGAACTGAACTAGAACTGAACTAGAACTGAACTAGAACTGAACTAGAACTGAACTAGAACTGAACTAGAACTGAACTAGAACTGAACTAGAACTAAACTAAACTGAACTAAACTAGAACTGAACTAGAACTGAACTAGAACTGAACTAGAACTGAACTAGAACTGAACTAGAACTGAACTAGAACTGAACTAGAAACTGAACTAGAACTGAACTAGAACTAGAACTGAACTAGAACTGAACTAGAACTGAATAGAACTGAACTAGAACTGAACTAGAACTGAACTAGAACTGAACTAGAACTGAACTAGAACTGAACTAGAACTAACTGAACTAGAACTGAACTAGAACTGAACAAGAACTGAACTAGAACTGAACTAGAACTGAACTAGAACTGAACTTGAACTAGATCTGAACTTGAACTTGAACTAGAACTGAACTTGAACTAGAACAGAATTTGAACTTGAACTAGAACTGAACTTGAACTGAACTAGAACTGTACGGTTACTTTAAGTCGTGTATACCGATCGTAACACTTCGTAACAGTTTGTATTTTTAATGTTAATATGCAATGCAAGTTTTTTTAATTTATACCTATTCTCGCCAGTCTGTTTTGAATATTTTTATTTTAAATTAAAAACACGAGACTTGAGAAACCAAAAAATAAATAAATAAAAATCTTATTAAACCATTTAAATTACTTTTATTTCCGCTTAATAATTTTTTGGACAAATGGGCGTTTGGTTTGAATATTTTTAAAACTAAAATCAATACAAAACAACAACTAGAAGAAAAACTTAAAAATTCTATTGATTCGTTTGCAAATAATGTTTGGCAACAAACTATATTGAATGTTTATATCAAGTTCATTATCATCGATATTAAAAATGTTTTGATTTTATAAAAAAATATACTATTAGAATATTTAATTTTTCATAAAATTAAAGGACTTGGCGAGAGATTTGATAAATAATTTATTAAAATGTGTAAATAATTAAAATTTTGTATGAATTATTGTATAAGGTTTATATTTGATATTTCAATGAGTTTGATTTTGAAATATGGGTCAAATATATTAATGTTTCGGTTAATGACAAATAATAAATAATCGGGAACATGTCATATCTTAAAAATAAACAAAATATTTATGTATTATAAACGACATTTTCTACAAAAAATTAAACATAAAATAAAATCAGATTTTATTTCAAAGTTGTAGAGATTTAAAAAATTTAGCAGTTTTTTCAATTGGCTTCTTATTTAAGAAACTATAACCATTTATAGGTTTTCTAATTAAAATCGAATATTGTCTGAAAATTAAGTAATCAGTATCAAGTTTAGCTATGACCTATATTTCATATAAATCGGTACCGTAGGCTTGTCGTAAATAGCACAACATTTCGAATTTGAAAATAGCTACAAATTTGCATATTTAACCTAAAGAAGAAATCTTAATGATAGTTTGGAATAGCCTATCTTTCTCTCCGACTATAGATCTGACACTGCACCGAATTTCATGTAAAACGGTTTAGTTGTTATGCCGCAGACAAGAAAGCAATTTAATTTTAAAATTTCTTGCAATATCAGTTAAATAAATAACCTGCATCTGGCAACACCCCTCGAAATATATATAACAACTGATAGCTGTGAAACCCAATATCTGCAGATAAAACAGTTTGTCAGCATTTTTTCTCGAGAAAACGTGAATGCGAAGTAGGCTCTGTGAAAATTATAAAAAAATACCAAGAATAATGTTTTAAAATTTAAAAAACCACAAGCAAAGTGTTAAATAAACATAGTAGCATTGAAATAATATAAAACTTTCGCCACAGAAATAAAATTGAAAAGAAAAACGTGAATTTAAAAATTTGCTCAAGAAATTTCGTCACAGAAAATTAAAGGAATAAGAACAAGCATTGGAAAAAAATTCTGACCATCGACGCACACACACATTCGAACGCGTTAACGGCATTACCAAAACACAAAAGTGTAAACATAAACAATAAGAAAACAACAAAACCATCAGAAAACATAAACAATGGGTCGCCGGTGTTGCATTACCGGTTGTACATCCACGTCACGCTTGCCGGAGCATCATGGTGTTACTTATCATTCGTTTCCCGCTGATCAAAATGCACGCTCTATTTGGATACGTAACACGAAAATCAGCTCAGATCGTCATATTACCAAAAGTGTTTTAGTCTGCTCGCGGCATTTTCGACGTGCAGACTTTCAGCCACAACGCAGTGGTAAATATTTGCTAAAGCAAAAGGTGTTTCCTACCGTCTTTCCCTGGGGTAAAATAGATGCAGCACAGATTGAGGAAGATTTGGAATTTTTAAATTCTACTGGCAACTCGGCACCCAGTAATTTGTTGTCAACCTCCTCCACAGTAGATGAAGATACAAAAGCCACTGTGGCCGCCACGGTGGCTCAGATAATGGCTCAGACTGCTGAATTAAATGCTGCTGCGGGTATTAAGTTGGAAAAGCCGGAGTCGGGATTAGAGGAGTCATTTAGTGAACCTGCTGTGGTAGCTACCAACCCCCCTACACCGCCCAATGTTAAATTTGAACCAGTTACCTCATTTAACCCCGGAGCTAGACTAGAGGCCCAAGATTTCGATGGTGTTTGGCATGCGGCCCGTATTGTGGAAGTGGATAATGATGATCGTGAAGTTTTAATTAAATTTGAGAAGACGGGTAAAAATAAATCCACTATGGCTGGTACTGAAGAATGGATTCCCATGAATTCAACACGTCTACGGCAGCGCATTTCCACCAAACCTATATTGAACTTTGAATTAGAGGAAAAATGCTTGGCACGTTGGTCGGGACCACGCAAATTTCCCGGTACTGTTAAGAAAATCTTACCCAATGATGTTTATGAGATTCTATTCGATGATGGTTATATTAAAAATGTACGCGCTATTCATATGAACAAAGTAGCAACAACAACAACATTACTAGAACCAACAGTGATGGAGACAATACCAGCAGAAGTTCCGGCTGATGTGCCTGTACCAGCTGTTGTTTTAGCTGATACTGCAGAACCTTTGCCAGTAATTCCCACTACTCAAGCTATAAAAAGGCCTTCTTCGGGTCAGAATTCTGGTAGTCATACTAAAAAACGTACAGCCAATGGCGGCAGAAAGGATTGGCCTTTGTTGGATTTGTCTAAATTGGATTTGTGTAAGTTTCTATTTTGTTTATACTTTCATAATATTTAATCATAACTATACTCTTCTCCCCTAAACAGCCTCTCTTAATCTTCCCGAGATACCCAAAGATGGTGAATGGACTTGTCATTGGGTTAATGATCAACCCATTGGTCGTGAGGGTTATTTAGTAGTGGGCGAACATCGTAAACCCACAGTTATAGTAGAAGATTGGCGTCTGCCTCCCGGTTGGGTCAAGCATATGTATCAACGTTCTAATGTCTTAGGCAAGTGGGATGTAATATTGGTATCACCCAATGGAAAACGTTTCAGATCAAAACCTGATCTCAAATCCTATCTGGAAGAGTTGGGTCAAATTTACAATCCAGATATATATGATTTTAGTATACATCGTCGTCGTGCTAAGGATATTAATTGTTATGTATATACACCCGACTATGTACCACAGCAGCCGGCTAAATCTAAGTCTTCCTTAAATACTTCGATAGACACTAGTTTGGCAACTAAAACATCATCAATAGTGGGAACATTACCCACTGCTGTTTCCTCACCCTATATGGAAACTCCCATAGCAGAACCTTTGCCACCTATAGAATTATTAACTACTTCTTCTAGTAGTATGGCGGCTGAAGATAAAAGTGTCACCCAAGTAGAGGCAGAAGTACCGAAACAACTTTTAGAAGCAGCAGAAGTTAGTTCGACACCAACACCTACTTCAACACCCACGGTGGGTTTGAAAGAAGAGGTCGTGGTATCTTCAGACTGTGCTACACCTACTCCAGTGATTGCTGCTGCAGTTCCTCCAGCTTCAGTAGCAGCGCCTGCTGCGTTAGAGACTCAAAAAGTTGATGATGGTTATGGTGGGTTTAATTTGTATTTTATAGTAGATTATTTGTACTTATTTTTAACTTATTTTTAGCTCTTATTGGTGGCTTAAAAGTACAGATTATAGATAATCTATTCCGTTGTCCCCAGGAGGGTTGTTCCAAGAATTTCCGCAAAGAAAATCATTTACAAATACATGTCAAGCACTATCATCGCAATTTGATCAAGTAAGTTTAGTTGTATTCCGAGTACATTGAAATCATTTTTCACCTTTTTTAATGAAAAGCTTTTTAAGCCCTTTTTGTACCATGAAGATTTGTTTAAGAAATGTTTTAAAATCATTTTGTTGTAGATCTTAAAAAAGCTTTAAAAAAGAGTTTTTTTTTAATATTTTTCAAATCTTTTTTGAAAAGATTTTTTTATATAACATGAAGCTTTTGAAAGTCCTATAAATATTTATTTACTGTTTTATTTAAAGAAAAACTTTTTATTTAATTTTGATCCTTTCCCCTGCAGATTACTCGGCACCTGTCCCAAAATGCTCGAACTGGCTGAAAAACGTACACATCCTGTCGACAATGAAGCCTCAGAACCGGTACCTAAAAATCAAATACCCAATCAGCAGTTCTTTGCTAAATTGCATCAACAAGATCTTGAACAAACTCGGGCTCATCGCAGAAGTACTGGTGCCCTAAAGGCTTCTGTGGATGCTGTACCAAACGAAATTAAAATCGAACCAACTGAAGAAACACCAATTAAAGTTGAAGATAATATGGATACTTCACAAAATGATACTTCCATTAATACGGCTTCTAGTACAGTTTTGGAAAGTTCTTTTGCTTCGACTAGTGCAGCCGATGAGACGGTGGCTTCAGCAGATGCTTCCATAGCAGCCGAGGCACCGCCCAGTAAACGTTCTAGGTTTTCACCAAGCAAAAGAACTCCGGGCTCTAGGAAAAGTAATCGTCAAAGAACTACTAGAAAGTATCTTACTGCAGCCCAGGCCACTGCAGGAGTGGTGGCTACTACTACCGCTGCTAGCGCGCCACTGCCGGTGCCTGTGGCAGACACCAGTTTTAGTGGTGTGGCTGAATTTGAGGAAACCCGCCACTCCTTTAATGCTACTCCCGATATTAATAAAGAAGTCAAGAAACGTAAAACAGTTTTACCTTCTAACACACCCCTAAGTAGTGTGGATTCTCCCATTACCGCTGATTCGGGATCAAATTCTTTCCAACCACAAAATTCCACAGAAAATGATGCTATCAACCAACCTCCTCCTCAGTACATCAAAGAAAATGGTGAATTAATTAAAATTGTACACATGCGCCAGGAAGAAATCATTAATTGCTTATGTGGCTATTGTGAGGAGGACGGTTTAATGATACAATGTGAACTTTGCCTCTGCTGGCAGCATGGTCTGTGCAATGGCATCGATAAAGTTTCACAAGTTCCAGATAAATATGTCTGCTATATATGTCGCAATCCCCAAAGATGTCGTGAATCTTTACGCTTCAAACATGATCAAGATTGGCTCTATGAAGGCAAACTTCCTGTGGCTAACTATCATACTTCCAATAATAGTGTTTTAAACAAAAGGGCAGAATACCTTAAACGTTCTCATACTTTGACGGGCAATCTATTGGAGTTGAAAAACTATATGCACTCACTAAGAGTTAAAATCAATATAGCCAATAATAAATGTCATCCCAAGCTGTATTTGTGGGCTAAAAAATGGGATGAGGATGAAGTGGTGGATGTAAAAAATGAAATTAAACTTGAGGCGGAGGATGAAAATAAAACTAACAATCCTGCTATGCCGTTAACACCCAGCAAGAAAATTAAATCTGAACCCACAACACCAGCCAGACTGGTGCCCAATATACCACAACCCGAGGCAGCCATAGATCCCAGTGAGTGTCAGCAGCGTTTAATGGAACACATTAAGATTCAGCAGGAATTGGTAATGGGACGTTTGAGTGACATAGAAGCAGCCATAGATGGTAGTTATTTTAATAATTTCTATTGTGAATTTCAAGTTTTAAATATGTTTTTTTTTAGTTTTGGAAAGTGAGGATGATTTACCCGATTTACGTGAAGACGATTTGGGTGCCACCAAAGATGTTCTGGCTGCTTTCATTAAAGAATTGGATACGGTTAAACAAATTGCCAAGCTTAATAGTTTGGAACATACAAAATTGGCCTATAAGAATCCTATACCTCCAGCAGTTAAATAATTTTGCTGATCATTTCCTTTCTTTTCTTAAGGAATTTGTTTTTACTATTTTATAATTTTATTCTTAATTTTTTTTGCTTAGTTTATTTAGTTTATTATAATCAATCGTTTTAATTTGCTATAGCTTTTTAAAAGCTAATTGCTATTCCTTGTAGATTTTTTATAACTTGTTTTAATTGGTGAAATAAATTTTGAATAAAAAACCCCCCTACCCCAGCCAAATTATGTAAAGGATTTTTTAATTTAAAGAAATGTTGGAAAATTTTCAAAAAATAGTTTAAATTTTTTTATGGAAACTCGCAAGTTCGTCTAATATTCAAAATAGGTTGTGGTCTTGACTGTTTTTATTTAAAACTTTTCACATATAGAGGGCGCCTTTATTATCAAAGTGTTTGCTTTCATATTAGATTCGCTGTATTTTGACAGATATACAACAACAATTTAAATATAATGGTTGGCAACGCAAGTAAATTACAAGCAACTACACTTAGGAAAATATTTTTTAAACTATACAGTTAAAATTTAAGGGATAACTAAAGGATCTTTTATTATGCTCTTCCTATCTTTGAATTTAAACACAGCAAAGATATTGAGCGGCATTTTGGATTTTGACGCCCAAGAAAAAGCTGTGTTTCTTACCTAAAACAGAGTCATAATCTACTTCCTTTTAATGTTAAAGGAAAACGTCTCCTTCGTCCAGAGTAGAACAGCACTGGGCGGGTCTAAAATGTTTACATAAGGACGTTTCCAAAAGTCGAAAATCAAACCAATTTTTAATTTGGAAATTAATTAATTATGTAAAGCTATGTATACATGGTTGTTAGATCTTACAACGTTGGCAGTAAAATGTGCAGAAAATGTCTAACAATGGCATCAATTTACAAATTTTATCTTGCAATATTGTCAGCAATGCTTTTTCTGACAAAAGAAAAATTGCGAGTTCACACGATTGTTGGACATTTTCTGCACATTTTACTGACAACGTTGTAAGATTTGACAACCGTGTATCAGAGCTTTAACAAACGTATTTTTGCATCATACACACACACTAATATTCCAAAAAATTACAAAATAATGAATGAAAAAAACAACAACATGGCGATGAACTTGTCAAAATGAATTACGAATGTGTCGTAGAAACGGGTTAATTGTCTATCGTCATTCAAAGGCCGAATAAAGTAATTCAACTGCACGTGTGAACTTGGTATAAAGGATTGAACAGAGCCGAATTCGAATCTGGCATCAGAATTAATCAGTCACATTAGCGTTTGCAACCATTACAATATAGCTTGAAAAAACCCCGTTTTTGACAATATTCGAGTTTGAGTGAGAAATAAAGTAAAAATTCATTTTTTTGGAAATTTAAGATTTTTCCAAACTTTAGTTTAAGAAATTTCGAAAAGGGAAGAAAATATAATAGAGCTTTAATCTGTATTTTAAAGTCGATGGATTGTACTTTGTTATAATAGAACAAATTTTACAAATAACGGTATTTTCGCGCGTCTTATATATAGTCAAAAACGGGTTTTTTTCAATCATGACATGATATCTAGAAAACAGGATCTGATGGATTAATTAAGTGGCCAGATTTGGATTCAGCGCTGCACAATTCTTTAAATTAGAAATTTATTGGCCTTTGTTATTCTCAAAAGTGCGAAAATTTTTTTTTTTCAGTTTTGGTAGACTTGCTCATGGAAGTGATTATATTTTTATCAATATTACCCCACATGTTTATCTTTCTACACAGAAAAAAGTTTCAGCATAAATATTATGAACTGCGTTCATTGACTAAAGTTAATAATATTTAAGAATAAGTTCCTAAAATGTATGAATTTTTTCATTTTTATATTTTTAAACATAATCTAGAAGCCTTGACTTAAAATATTAAAAATTTTCTTTATATTTTTCTGTTTGTTAAAAAATGTTTGAAATTTTCTTTAGAAAATTTTTTATTTCTTTATGATTTTTAGATTGAAAACAATGAAATATGCGCGTAACATGCAACATTTTCTGAAGAATGGATGTTTAGCTATATGCTGGTTTTTTTATTTCATATTTTGTTTTCCAGCATTTTTATTTATTTATCATAAAAATTCGCTAATATGTGATTATTTTCTAAAAAATGGAAGATATTAATAGGTAACGGTTATTTATTTATTGCATTTTTGATGAAAATCAAAGAAAATGAAAAAAAAAAAAAAAAAAAAACAAAAAAATCTTTCATGTACAAATTCATACATTTTATGAACTTTTAATATTCTGAATGAAAATGGTTTGGGAAAAAAAAGTCATGTTCGATTCATTCAATTTATTTCAAAATTTATTCCAAATATGAATTATTTTTTTCTGTGTATGGAAAATAGTTGTTTTTGTTTTCAAAATACGATAAAATTTCTATTTCTAACAAAATAATAAACGCTGTCCAATAAACAAAAACTCATGTTTGTTAGAATCGTGCAATTAAAGTTCAAAACTTTTCTAATTTGATTTCTTATAAGAAACCCAATAAATTTTTCACTAAATCTTTTAAGAATCAAATTCCTATTACGTTTTCCTACAACTTCACCGTGTATTACTAAAAATTTAAAGACGCATTGCCAATCATTTAAAAGAAAATGGTTTGACAACTTAACACCACCAGTCAAAGAAAAACACTTGCCACTGACAGTTGTTTAGTTGACAGCAACATGAAAACATGTTGTACGGGTAGTGCGTAGCGATAAATTATTAAACGAATAAAACAAATTGTAATTTTTTAACGATTTACACAAATAACTTAAAAGAATAAACAAAATAAGATAATAGTGTAGAAAAGAATAAATTTACTTTTAAAAATAAATACAAATTAAAGCAAACGTTTAAGAAAGTTTCAAGTAATTTAACAAAAAGTTTTGTGTATTAAAGTGTGTCTGTGCAATTTCCTTAAAAAGTGTGTAAAAATATAAAGTTGTCCCCCTCTTTTTGTAGCAAAGTGTAGAAAAAAATCCAGTAGTTAATAAATAAAGAAAAAATAACGTGATAAAAACGTAACAACAGCAAGAGAAAGTAAAATATAACAACAAATAATAAAAACAAAAAAAAAAAAAATATTAAAATAAAGTGTAGTGCAAATGTAAATACATAAATTGTTTATAAATGAAAAGCTTGTAAAGCAGCGTAACAAAATTAAAAGAATAAATAATAATTCTACAAAGTACAACAACAATAATCTCTTCAAGGTGAATGAATGGCTGCTTAAAAAACAAAAATCAAATATTTTCTTTAATAGTTTTAAGATTTTTTTATGATTAATTTCCACGGCGTCTGCTATAGCTATAAAAATTTTATGTTTTTTATTTATAATTTTTATTAGAAAACTGAACTAAAAGCTACTCAACTGTTGTTGAATAATGCTTAAAAGAAATTTTCTTTTAATTTCTTTAAATAAATCCAACTTTATGGGAGTTTTTTTCTAATAAAATGTTTTATTTTGGCAAATGTTTACAGCTGTTTTTCTTTCATTTGCTTTAATGCTGTATTTTATTCACTTTTTTGCTTTAGTTTTTATTTTCCCCTTATATTCTTGGTTGTTTTTGATGTTAATGTTGGTGTCATTTTGACAGCTTGGCCAGACTATGGGACGACTACCGCGTCGACACCATAAGCACACACATTTTATGCTGCTGATAACCCTTTCTTTACTCCTTCCTTTGTTTTTTTTTTTCTTTCTCTTACAATTTTCCTTTCTAGGCGGGGGGACACATTTACCTTTTTTACTATAAAACAACAACAAAAACTCAGCAGACGCTTGTCTTCTTTGTCCATTTGTTTTTGTCGTCTTCGTATGTTTTTATTTTTAGTTACACTTTGCCGGTTGTATTATTTTTAATTGCTTGCTATTTACTTTTTCTATTGTTGTTATTTTTCATGTTTTATTTCTTTTTGTTTTTGCATAAATATTTATTGGTTTATTTTGATGTTTAAATTTTCTATCAGTTTATTTTTAATCTTTGTATTTAAAAGAAAAAAAATAATGTTTTCTTTTCGTGTCAATTTTTCTGCGTGTAGTTTTTTTGTTATTGTTTGCTTATTGTCTACCTCTTTCTCTTTGTATTGTTTTTGCCATGTTTGTTTTAACTTTGATTTTGTTGGGGGGAGTGTGTGTGTGCATTTGTTTGTGTTTAGACAACGTTGCAATGCGTTTTTTTTGCATTTCACCAATATATTTGATTGTCTGTCTTTAAAGTGCGTTTAATTTTAGCATTTATTTGAGATTTTTAATTAAAAAGTAGTTTATGTGAATATATTGTTGAAGTGTTTAGTATTTTTAACAATTTTGTTTATTATTTATTTGGTACTAAAGTAAAAATGTGAATTGAACATGGTGGAGGCCTGCGAGCAGCAGACAGGTGAATAAAAAATTATATTTTTTAGGAATTAATAGAATTTGATAACTTTTAACAAATCCTGTGGAATTTGTGCTAATTTGTTAAAATAAGTTATACCTATGGTCTTTTTAAGAAGTCGCCGTTTAAGTTCGTTTACTGTTACAGTTATCACGCCGGTTCTTAGTAAGTGGGAAGCTGCCTTGAATTGTAACAAGGTATTGGACAATCAGTTTTAGTTCCAATTCTTGATAAGAATTTGCCTTTATAAGATGATATTGATTAAAGTAAATTAAAAATTTACACAAATTTCACACATCCCATGTTTGACATAAATTTCGATGAAAATCATACTTATATCCATGTGCTTGCACTTGATAGCACTTACTTGCACATTCTGAAACAGAAATTCACGGTGAATAACAAAAATATTACATCGGAATTGAATTTTAATCGTAAAACAGTATTTCGAGAGTTCGCCGATGCCGCTGGTTAGTTCAAATTTGAAAATGAGCTGTTTTAAGTCATTAGTCTTGAAAAACAACTCTTAAAGGTGGGCACTCACGGCGTTGGGCACTCACAATGTATGCACGAAAGTTGTCTAGACGGAATGTAACTTCAAGCTTCAAGCATCGATATTTCCAAAGTCAGCCACGATTACCGATGTGCTTTACATTTGGTGAAGAATAGTTTAAAACCCTTAAATAGCATTATTCTGAGATCTGTTCGACAAATGAATAATCACTGAAAACGAGATCTCTTTATCTAATAAGCAATTATCTAGGTGTCACTTTGCAGTTTCTAATTTTAAAAACTTTCTAATTTGATTAGAATCAGAAGACCTCTTCGAAAATTCTAATGAACATTCCTCGTTTTCCTTAAAGATTTTGATGTTTGTTTTTTGGTGTAAATTGTTGTAATTTTTTGGGGGTTTTTCCATGTGTAACACCATGTCCTAATGTTTCTTGTTCAAAACAAAAGGACCTAAACATTTGCAGTTATTGAGAGAAGTAATTTTGATAAGAATACTTATTACAATAACAAAAATTCACAAACTTGGATCATTAGACTGATCTATTGATGGTTTATTAACAATCGATAATTTTATTGAATGGTCTATGGCTAAGTCTAATCTATAGACTATTAAATGGTTATTTGGCTAGTTTACTGTCCTGTGTATGTAAAATTATATGGATTAATTTAAGAATAAGTCTTTGGCAACGTCTGTGATCTATTAAGAAGTATACGAACTATTCTATAAAGTATTCGTATTCTTTTGACTAGTCTATTATGTTGCCTATTAAATAGTCTATGGACTAGTCCATGGGTTAGCTAATGCAAAAGTCTAATGATGGAATATGGACTAGTCTATTGATTGGTTATTGACAATGAACTCATTTATTGAAGTGACTAAGTCTAATGTATAGTATAGTTTATGGTCGATCTGCTAACTAGTTTATTGTCCAGTCTACGGTCCAGGCTATAGATTAGTTTATGGACTATTCTATGGACTCGCCACCGGACTGAACAATATACTAGCCTATAATATAGCCCATTGACTATTAAATATTCCATAGGCAATAAACTAGGCAATATACTAGTCCATAATTTTCTCAATAGAATAGTCAATAGGCTTGCCAATAGTTATGTTTCGTTTTAAATCTCTTCATTTGCAACCCTCTCCACTTTTAACCAATTTAAATTTTACACATTATTAATGTTTTCTCCTTCTATGGGAAAATATTAAATACAAAAAAGTTTCGTTTTTCCTTCATTTCAACACTATATTGAATATACATTTTCATTCGGGTGTGTTAATAACTTCAGCCTATTGTTAATTAAATATTATACAATATTTAAATGTTTATAAACATGCTAATAACTAAGTTATTATATTTCTGTAGAAAATAGACCATATATTACCACATACATACATACTATTTATCATCTTGGGTTTTTTTTGTCTGTTTGTAGGCTCAAATTTCCTTAAGTTTTGGTCTCTCTTTAATAGTTAACAAGTGTTAAACTACTTTAATATGTTTTAAGTTGTATTTTATAATTAACATACATACAAATATACAATTTAAATTTTTGTGTTATAATGTAAATAAGTTGCTTTACCAAAGATTATTTTATAAGTGTTAATTCTACAAAATTTCTAAATAACTTCAAGGCATAATATTCAATGCAAATATTTAATAAAATTTTATTTAAGTAACCATTTTATGGTTAAAGAAATTTTATAAAACATAAGTTTAAGTTATTATTTTAAGTTTAAGATATACATAAATATGTTTTTTTAAATACATATTTAAAAAACTTTTATTTCAAATAAGTACAGAAACAAGTATAGAAATGTTAATACTATTGTCCAAAGTAAATAGACTAGTACAAAGAGTAGTGCATCAATTAGTTAATAGATTCATTCATATACTAGATCATAAAATAGTCAATAAACTAGTCTACAGACTTATCCATAAAATATTCTATAGATCAATCAAGAAACTACATTATAGATTAGTCAACTCACCATATACTAGTCCATCGTGTAGTACATCTATCAGCCAATACGATAGTCTATCTACCAATCCATATACTTGCCAATAGATTAATTCATCTATCAGCCAATAGGATAGTCTATCTACTAATCAATAGATTCATTCATATACTAGATCATAAAATAGCCAATAAACTAGTCTACAGACTTATCCATAAAAGATTCCTTAGATCATTCAAGAAACTACTTTATAGATTACTCAACTTATCATATATTAGTTCATCGTCTAGTACATCGACCAGCTAATAGGATAGTCTATTTACTAATCCATAGACTTGACAATGGATTCATTCATATACTTGATTATAAAATAGTCAATAAACTAGTCTACAGACTGCTCCATAAAATATTCAATATATCATTCAAGACACTAGTTTATAATTTAGTCAACTGACCATAGACTAGTTCTTCATCTTGCCCATCATCCTGTCAATGGGATAGTCTATCAACTAATCCACAGACTTGACAATAGTCTATTACACTGAACAGTCAATGGACTGCTCAGTATAATAACAATAGACTTGTCAATAAACTATCCGATATACTTTTACTTAATAGAGTAGTTAATGGAATAGTCCCTAGACTAACCAATAAGCTGAGCGACAGACTAGATTAGTGCAAAGACTAGTTCATATACTAGATTCTAGAATTATCTATAAACTAATCCAAAGATTGGCATATTCATTAGTCAATTGACTAGGCCATAGAGCAGTTCATCGACTAGTCAATGGGCTAGTCTATAGATTAAACCATAGATAAGTCCATAGTAGTAGTGTAGACTAAACCACAGTTTAGTTAATGGACTAATTTATAGAATAATCCACTGACTAGTCAAAACTTTTCAATCGAGAAGTTAACCGAGTGTTCAATTGACTAATTAAGAGACTACTTAGTACTATTTTAGTTAATACACTGGAACATAATATTATCAATAGACTAGTCCCTAGACCGGACAAAAGACTAGTCAACAAAATAGTCAGTGGACCATCCAATAAACTAATTTATAAAGTGGTCAATAAAGCATAGACTAGCAAATAGTCCATCGCCTAGTCAATGGGCTAGTCAATAGACTAGATCGGTTGCTAGTCTATAGACAACTTCATATACTAATCCCTAGACTGGTCAATAGACTCGATCATCTTATAGTCACTAGGCTTGGTAATAGGCAAGTCCATGAAATACTCCTTAGCTGAAAAAATAAATATTTTTAATCCAAATATATGCAATTCTTGGTAAATTTTGATATTTCGACTTTCCATGCCTGTATAGGAGTATGTTTTTTTTCAGAGAGCCAGATAGAGAGAGCGAAATTGTGTGCAATATTTGCCAATATACGAATGAAGACTAGCAAATAGTTCATCGACTAGTCAATGGGTTAGTAAATAGACTAGATCGGTTGCTAGTCTATAGACAACTTCACATACTAATCCCTAGACTGGTCAATAGAATCGATCATCTTATAGTCACTAGGCTTGGTAATAGGCAAGTCCATGAAATACTCTTTGGCTGAAAAAATAAATATTTTTATTCCAAATATATGCAATTCTTGGTAAATTTCGATATTTCGACTTTCCATGCCTGTATAGGAATATGTATGTTTTTTTTTGAGAGCCAAATAGAGAGAGCGAAATTGTGTGCAATATTTGCCAATATACGTATGTAGATATTAGGGTGATCGATTATTCGACATTTTCCAAAAACCGGTTTTCGAATAGTTCGAATAGTTGACATTTAAAAAAAACCGGTTGATATTTTTCAAATTCAGAAAAAACCGGTTAACCGGTTTTTCATTACAATTAAAAAAATATACTGTAATTTGAAAAACTTAATGTTTATGTTTAAATTTGATTAATAAAACATGGCCCGAAAAGGAAAAAGTGGGACACTTCTGTTAAACATAAGGTACTATGTAATCCTAGCTTATTTTAAAAGCCCTGTTTAGGAAATTTGCATAGGCATTCCAACACTTCCATAAAATTTCAGCCGTAAATTAATTATTGTAATTGGAATATAATCTTAAGATTGCTAAATTTTATCAAACAGTTATCCATTTAACAAATAATTTTTTTTAATTAATTAGGAAAATCAAAAAAGTTTAACCAAAAGAGCTGTAGAAAAATATACTCTAGTTCCTCGACTCGAATATTTTTAAAATTTAGACGGGCTGTATTATTATTTACTTAAAAATTTCATTTAAATAATCTTTGAATACAAAGCAAATAAAAGTATTCGAAACCGGGTTTTAAAAAGTGAAAAAACCGGGATATTCGATATTCGAAAAATCAACATTAAGAAAAAACCGACACTGGTAAAGCAGAAAAAACCGGTTGAAAAATCGAGTCGATCACCCTAGTAGATATATGTATACTATGTGTGCAAATATTCATATGTACACTTTTTTGGTGCAGCAGGAAATGCATTTTTTAACCGTCTGTTGTCATGATTTTTAAAAATAGATAACAAACAGCTACTGCAGCTACAACGACACTTAAAAGCAAGTAGCAACACATAATACCTACATATAGATTTTCAACAAATCCTTTCAATTTTATTTATTATTTTTTTACTGCAACAAAACTATTTCACTAGAAAATAAACTAAGAGAATTTCATTCATTTTTTCACGATTTTGTGAAAATAAACAAAGGAAAAAAACTAACATTTATAACATGCAAAAATTCCCCAATTTTTCTTCATTTTGTGCAAATGTCAGCAAAATAAAAATTTGTGGAATATAACAAAAAATTCATTGATGAAAAATTTATAAAACAAAAAACCCTTTAGTTTTATTGCTTTTTCTATTTTTTTTTTCTATACTTAAAATAATATTTGTGGGAATAGCTATTAAAGTACTTCATTTTAGCTGTTGTTTACTAACAAATGCAATTTGCAAATTGCTTTGATTTTTAAGAGTAGAAGGAAATTTTAATTTTGAAAACATAATATAGCTTTTTTTTGGAGCTATAAGTTGACGTGGTTTGTTAAGTGGCTATTATTGCCATTTTAACTTAAATTTTTTTTTAAATCTTAAGAAATTTCGATTAATCGAGCCTAACGTTAGACATAAAAGAATCAGTAGATTTAGCTAGAAAGTGTGTCCAAAGTTTCAGATTACTTTTTTTCTTTTAGCATATAGAGATTGTTTAGCATATTCCCTTTTCTTTTACCCATATTTTGTTAATAGCTTCATCTTGTTTTTATAGGAAGTCTTTAATTAGTTGCTAAACATGAACTCATTAATTTCAGTTTTATTTCTAAATAGAAAAAGGTTTTCTTAAGAAATGTGATATTTATTTTTACCATTAACAAAATATAGTCTTACCTTCATTTAAATTTCTAATTTTTCTCCCCTTTATTTTGGACCCTATCAGCTTTTCTCTTTTATAATTTAATCCTTTTTTTGTTTACAAAAAAAAAAAAAAGAGTAAAAATAACAACAACTTAAATACGTTAATTTTTTTCACAATTTAATATCATTTTAAGTGTAAGGCAGGGATGGATAACTTAGTATTATTGTACTTTTTTTAGCACGAAAATTGTTTATATTTTTTAAACATCAGCTTAAAAGCCGATAGACTATTTAAAGGATTAGTCCATAGCATATTACATATACTTATCTACGGATTAGTTCATAGATTAATCCTTGGAGTAGTCTGTAGTCTAGCCAGTAGAATAGTCCAATAGGCTAGACAATAGACAGGTTAAGAGACTAATAAATAGGATACTCAATAGACTAGTTAATAGACTAATCAATAGACTAATCGATAGATTGGTCAATAAACTAATCCGTAGCTTAGTCACTAGTCTAGTCTACAAGCTAATCAATTGACTACTCCATAGGCTAGTCAACAGATAAATCTACAATTTAGTCAATATATTAGTCCATAAATAATGCCATAGACAATCAATAGACTTGTCAAAAGACTGGTCCATGTACTAGTAAATAGAATAATCCTTAAACCATTCAATAGCCGTCTTCATAGATCAGTCAACAGACTGGTCAATAGACTACTCCATAGGCTAGTCAACAGATAAGTCTATAGGATAGTCAATAGAATAGTCCATAAACAATTCCATAGAAAACCAATAGTCTATTTCTTATACTAGTAAATAGACTATTTTCAATAGACGACTTTATAGATCAGTCAATATACTGGTTCATTTCGCTATAGATCAGTCAATTGACTTGCCTAAATATCGGTCAATCGGCAAGAAATTCATACCCTAGTCCATATACTAGTCGTTAGACTTCTCCATAGATTAGTAAATAGTTCTCCATAGATTAGTAAATAGTTTTATCCCTAGTCTAGTCCACAGTTTAGTTAATAGACTAGTTAATATTATGATCCGTAGACTAGTCAATGGAATAGACCATGGTCTAGTCAATAGATTTGTCCATAGACTAATCAATAGAGTGGTTCATATAATACATTGCCAATAGAATTGTTCATAGAATGGAATACTTCTTCGACTAGTCAATAGAATAGTTCATATACTTGTCAATAGATATGTCCATAGACTATTCAATGGAATTGTCTACAGATTAGTCAATTGATTTGTCCAAAGACTAGTATATAGAATAGTCTATAGACTGGTCAATAGAGTATTCCATAGACAAAACAATAGATTTGTCCATAGACTAGTCAAACTACTCCTAACAGTAGAAGTTCAAAGTTTAAACTTTCCATACCTGATGAAGTTTGTTTTCTGCTTCTCTCTGTGCAAAAAATAATCAGAATTGTTACTTTATCGTCATAATTTAAGGCAGTCCAATGTACTCTTGCTCGCAATGCTTTCATGTATCCGAGAGTGTTGTGCTGACTGTTTTTGGTCCTTGAATGTATTCCTTACTTTTTGTTTTGTTCTATAAAAGTAGAAAAATTACAAAAATATAACGAAAAACTGTAAAAATACTAATTTGCCAACATTTTTTCTCTTTTTTTTTTCTACGATACAGGTTCTTACTAAAGTTAAATGCTCTATTTGCTGCCACGACAAGGATACAAAAAGACAAAAAAGGCACTAATAATGGTGTGAGTTTGCTGTTAACTTGGATGGGTACTTTAGATATGCTAGAGAGCCGAACAGTAAAGTGATTGCTTACAATTTGTGCGTGTGGCAAAGTACATATTGCGGGGGAAAGGAAAGACAAATGGTGGCAAATTAAAAACAGTATCCTACCTAAAAGTATGTAATTGGGAAAAAAATTACTATTTTAGCAATTTTGCCATGATAGCAAGGAAAATAGACTCTATAAAGCGCTAATTGTATTATAATAAAGTGAATAGAAGGAAAGGCAAAAGCAAAAAAGCTTAAATGGAAAAGCAAGAGCAAAAACAATGTATGTAATTGAAATCTAACATTACAATAAATGAGGAAAATCTATTGTCATTATAGTGTTCCACAGCACTTGTGGAATCATTAAACTAAGCCTATCAACAGATTAAGGCAACAAAGTCTATACTTGCATGTTGGCTGGGATTTAATGAGGAAAAAGGGAATTGACAAAAAGGTAGAATTAAATGAAACTAAAATCATTTAAAAATTGCTGTCTATAATAGAAAAAATAGACAGATAACTATTGTCACCCCAGTTAATGGACAGCAAAAAAAGGTTTAATTTTAAAATCACAAACCCAAAACTAAATGCTTAAACTCATTAAAGATAGCAAAACTCTAGCAAAGCCTTTCTATGTACAACAGCGCCATCATTAAAACAATCTTCTAACTATTTGTTAAAAACAAAGCAAACAAAGAAAACAATCGGATTAATTCATTCCATGTACAAGTACACTATATGTAAATAATCGAACATATTGTAGCCCCTGGAGATTAAAACGGCATTTTCCCGTACTCCAAAGCCAAGAAAAAGCCTAAATAACAACACGCCCATACAAAACTTGTTAACACGGAAAAAACGCTCAAATACCCGGGATTACCTACAACAATCAAATAAAAACAGCAAAGTGTAAAAAAAACGCAAAATCTTTATTCCCTTAAAAAACACACACACAACAACAATACACAAAGTAATCCCCCACAACAGCAACAAAATAAAATAAACTCTAGTCCAAAAAAATATAACTTTCAACCCCCAACCCTATTTCCACATAAAATGATGTTTCTACGCCTGCAAAAAATAGTTTAATTCCAACTCCCATTTTTATGTCTTATTTAATGAAGTTATCTTTACGCTTTTCATCTTTAAACTTTTTAAAACGTTCACATTTAATTGACAACTTCATTATTACTACCACTACTACTACTACTATAACTATAATTATTGTTGCTGTTGTTCCACGTTATGGATCATGCCTTTGGTGAAGGAAAAGTTAGAGACCAAAGAAATCATCAAGGATATGCGCAAAAACGTTTCGGTACAAGTTGATAGTGATTTTGCTTTACTTCTGCCCAGCGGTGTTTATGAAATCAAAAAAATGGAACCACGTTCAAAAATACGAACCATTATCGTATTTTGTTTATTTTTAGCTATAGCGGGTATTATTGGTTTCGGTTATTTCTGTCAAGATCAGGTGAGTGAGATATATATATTTTTTATATAAAATAATTTTATTAGAAAAAAATAAAAGTATTAAAAACAAGATATGGACTAGGTCATGGACTTGTCTATCAATAGACAAGTCCTGTACCAGTTTAAGGTCTAGTTTATTAAGGGCGGGTTTCTTAATACTCAGTTAAACTATGCTTAGATTAAACTCGGAACAAATTTAGGCGGACGTTAACCGATGATTGTGTTTTTCAGTTATGGATTTAAGTTCAGTTAACTTTGTTAGTATTGCCAACTTTTCACTCAAAAACATAAATAATGAACAGCTGTTTTTTGCAAATAATACTTTTGTAAAATGAAAAATTTTGAAAAAAATGTTAAATAAACATTTAAAACAATAATAAATAAAACAAAACAAATCAGAAAATTGCAATTTACTTAAAATATTAAGTTTTTGTTCTTCCGAAATCATTGTTTTATTGTTTTTGTTAATTGTGTCTTCTCACTTATAATTTAAGTTTATTTGGCCAATAACACTCAGTTAAACTAAGGTAATAAGTAACGTTACTGTTTACTGAAAAATACAAAACATATATTAAACTAGGTTTAAACAAAGAATGTAGATTATCTTTATCTGAAAAACCCGCCCTAAGTAGTCCATTGACTAATATGTGGACCAGTCTACTGTAGACAATTAATTAGTCTAAGAACTAGTCTTTTAACTAGCCTTAGAAATAATTTCTTTACTAAACTAAGAACTAGTCCATTGACTGGTCTAGTTTATAGGATAATGTTATATCTGCTTTATACTTAGGCTAGTCTACTAACTAGTCCAATATATAGTCTTATGTCTTGTCTTTTTAATGTCTAGTCCATGATCTAGTATATTGACTAGTCTAAAGTTTAGTCTACAGTTTGAACTAGTCTAAGCATTAGTCTACTCACTAGTTCAAGAACTAGTCTATTGCCTAGTCTATGGATTAGTCTCTTGACTAGTCTAAGAACTAGTTTATTGACTTATACAAGCCTGATAACTAGTTTATTGACTTGTCCAGGGACTAATCTATTGACTAGTCTAAGATGTAGTTAACCTATGGACTAATCTGTCTAGTCCATGATCTAGTATATTGACTAGTCTAGTCCATGATCTAGTATATTGACTAGTCTAAAGTTTAGTCTACAGTTTGAACTAGTCTAAGCATTAGTCTACTCACTAGTTCAAGAACTAGTCTATTGCCTAGTCTATGGATTAGTCTCTTGACTAGTCTAAGAACTAGTTTATTGACTTATACAAGCCTGATAACTAGTTTATTGACTTGTCCAGGGACTAATCTATTGACTAGTCTAAGATGTAGTTAACCTATGGACTAATCTATCGTCAAGTATAAGAACTTGTCTAAGAACTAGTATATTGACTCGTATAATAACTAGTCTTAGAACTAGTTTATTGACTAATTTATTAACTGGTCTAGAGGTAGTTAGCCTATGGACTAATCTATCGACAAGTATAAGAAATTGTCTATTGATTTGTGGAATAACTTAGTCGAAGAACTAGTCTATTGACATGTATAATAACTAGTCTAAGAACTAGTTTATTGACTAGTCTATGGACTAATCTTTTGACTGGTCTAAGAGGTAGATAGCCTATGGACTAATCTATCGACAAGTATAAGAACTTGTCTATTGATTTGTCGAGTAGCTAGTCGAAGAACTAGCCTTGTATAATAACTATGTAGTCTAATAACTAGTTTATTGACTAGTCTATGGACTTATCTATTGACTAGTCTAAGAGGTAGTTATCCCAGGGACTTATCTATCGACAAGTTTAAGAACATGTCTATTGATTCGTCGAATAACTAGCCGAAACACTAGTTTATTGATTAGTCTATGCAATAATATATTTACTAGTCTATGTACTAATCTATTGACTAGTCCAAGAGGTAGTTAGCCTCTGGACTATTCTATCGACAAGTATAAGAACTTGTCTATTGATTTGTCGGATAACTAGTCCCAGAACTAGTCTATTGACTTGTATAATAACTAGTCTAAGAACTAGTTTATTGACTAGTCTATGGACTAATCTATTGACTAGTCTAAGAGGTAGTTAGCCTATGGACTAATCGATCGACAAGTATAAGAACTTGTCTATTGATTTGTCGAATAACTAATCGAAGAACTAGTCTATTCACTTGTATAATAACTAGTCTAAGAACTTGTTTATTGACTAGTCTATGGACTAACATATTGACTAGTCTAAGAGGTAGTTAGCCTATGGACTAATCTAAGAACTTGTCTGTTGATTTATCGAATAACTAGTCGAAAAACTAGTTTATTGATTAGTCTATGCAATAATCTATTTACTAGTCTTACAGTTAGTTAATTAACTTGTCAATGGATTAGTATATTTACAAGTATAAGAACTAGTCAATTGACTAGTCAAAGAACTAGTCAATTGACTAATCAAAGAAATAGTCTGTTGACTAGTCAAAGAACTAGACTGTTGACTAGCCTATGGACTAGTCTAATGACTATCCATGGACTTATCTATTCACTACTCTATGGACTAATCTGAGAACTAGTCTATTGACTAGACTATGGTCTAGTGTAATGACTATTCTATGGGCTAAGAACTAGTCAATTGACTAGTCAAAGAACTAGTCTGTTGATTAGCCTATGGACTAGTCTAATGATTACCCATGGGCTTATCTATTCATTAGTCTATGGACTAATCTATTCACAAGACTATGGACTCATGTAACAACTATTCTGTGGGTTAATCTATCTATTGATCTACTTGCAACTTCATCACAACAACACAAATTGTAACAATTTCATAAAGTTTATAACAATTTCAACACACATTTACTATTTACATTTACTATAAACATTGTAGATCTGAATTTTCTCAGTTTCAGCTGTAGTTGTCATTACTAAATTGTGTAAATTTCCTATAAAATAGAAAATAAACAAAATCTCTAATTCTAATGTTCCTAACTATCAGATTAATTTATGCAAGAATTTATTTTTTGCACAAAAAGTAATGACAATAAAATGTTAATAAATTAACGGAAAAAGAAAGACTAAAAGACATGGATTTTGGCGCCACCATAAATAGGTGTTGCCGGTTTTTGTATAATTATTTTAAAGAAATTTATGTTTTTCTCATTATTCTTCTTTCTTTTAATAAAGCGTTTAAAATTTATGGATGTTTTTTATAATTTTTTAAACAGAAAAAATTTATATATGAATGACGACAATAACACCATTTTTTTTTAAATATTGTATATTCTTGGAATCTCCACTTGTTACCCAGTGAATTGTGAGAGCAAAATTAAGTTACAAGTTTTTGAAATCTAAGAAATATTATTTTGAAAATTTGCCCAGAATTTCTGTTAAAAAAGCTGTAATAAACTTTTATTAGCAGTTGCCCGTACTTTACTAATTCTCTTTTGCTTCTGCGTAATCTAAGTGATCTCAATCATTTCGCTGGGTTAAATTTTAAATACCAGCTTTTGAATTTATAACTTTGGTATGCGTATTGATTTTTATTATTTTGTTTGTTTTATATATTTATTTTTATGAATTAAATTTATAAACTCGTTTAAAATGCTGCTGTTAAAATATGATTATTTTAATGATCATAGTACTTTGTAATTCACATTGAAATTTAACATCAATTTAATGATTTAACACACTTGAATATAAAAGACAAAAGAAGATTTAAACAAGATTTAAAACTGTATTTTATTAATGCAATAAATTTTAGATTAAAACAAGTTGCGAATAAGCTATAAAAATTTAAAGAGTAGTTTTAGTAAAATAGAAGGCTTTAGCATTTGATTTGGAGATCTTTTCTATTTCTTGTCGATTTAGAAATGATTTCTTTTTTCTCAACAGGAGAGCGTTTTCTTTACATCAATGGTATGTAAAGAGTTATATGAAGAGCTTTCTTGAAGTCTTAACTTCACACGTATGACTTCTTACACATGTATAACAAATAATAAAAAACAGTTAGAGAGCATTTTTTACTATTTGCCGATTACTGCTTTACATCTCTTTTAAAAGAGCTCTTAACAAAGCTCTTTGCCGATCAGGGCTCTGTACTATAAAAATTTTGTACTCTGTCCATTTTTTAATAGAAAATTTAGCAACGAACTTGAGAGTCTTATTTTGTATATAAAATTTGATCTTTCTCTTAAGAGAGACTTATTTTTTAATACAAATTTTAACCTCTCTCTTAAGAGAAGATGTTTTCTTTAGGAAATTTGAAATCTCTCTATACAAAGTTTAAACTCTCTCTTATTTTCTATATAAAATTAAATCGTTCTCTTAAGACAGACCTATTTTCTATAGCCTACATCGGCAGAGAGTAAAAAATAAGTTCTCTTACTGGTTTTTATCGTTTTTTTCTTATAAAGGTGTAAGTATACATGCGTGGGAAATTAAGAGTGCAAGAAAGCTCTTAACAAAGCTCTTTGCCGATCAGGGTTCTATAGAAATTTTAACCTATCTCTTAACTAGGGAAATTTGAACTTCCTCTTAAGGCAGTCTCATTTTCTATAGAAAATTTATATATCTTACGAGATGCTTCTCTCTTTTGTTTAGGAAATTTTAACTCACTCTTAAGAGACACTAATTTTCTATAGAAAATTTTAAATTTATCTTAAGAAGGACTTAATTTTCTATAGCAAGTTTGGCATCTTACTTGAGAGAGTCTTATTTCCCATATAAAATTTTATCCTTCTCTTAGAAGAGGCATACTTTCTGAAGAAATTTTAAACTCTCTATGTTTTCTTTAGGAAATTTTAACTTCCTCTTAAGGAAGCCTCATTTTCTATAAAAAATTTGTCCTCAGTCTTAGGAGAGGCTATTTACAAAAAAAAAATGTGATATCTCTTTTTAGAGAGGCTCCTTAGAGCAGCTTATTTGGGAAATTTAAGTTTTTATAGGAAATGTGTCATCCCACTTGAGAGAGGATTATATTCTACAAATTTCATCCTTAAGAGAGGATATTCTTATATATTC